CAGATTCACTTTAATTTTGAAAATTTTAGTGAAACACAAAGGAACTAACCTAGACGTTTGATAGGCAATCTACAGTATTCGTGTCCGTGTTGTATCCGATATACGAACTCTCGGCTACGCCTCGAGTTTGTATATCGGATACAACACGGCCACTCATACTGTATATATTACTTAAGCTCTTAAGTCTCACTTTGTTCATGTTCTTCTGCCATCAGCATCTCGCAAACTTTTGAGCATCCAATGTCATCAAACTTTAGGCCTTGCTTAATTGGTTGCCCCTGTTCAAACCAATGAATTGCTTTTAAAATCCATCATTGTAACATCCCTTTATTATGGCTTGGCTAATAAATCAATGGTTACTCAATTGAAAATACATTTATGAGCATACAATTACATGTGGCTTTTCCTAAAATGTTTTTAACACAATTTCATGTAGCTACATGTTCATGTCATATTGCTCTCCCTATGTTTAAATGCATGTCCCAGCAATTTTTAACAGGAGTGAATGTAGAAACCAGGTTACTAATGCTATTAGCACCATAACTCCACAAAATCTTTGGGCATGGGTAATGGACTTTTTCAAAGAAAAACTTAAGAAATAAGTAAAAACTGTCTAAACAAAACTTGGATAAAATGGATATGATTAATTGGTAATAGAACTTCCAGTCATGCAATTTTGCTCTCAAATCATACTGGTGATTAACAAATTGCACTCGTGCTACGTGGTTGTACAATTTTGTAAGCACTTGTTTGATTTCAGAGCAAATTGCACTCCACTAAGTTCTATAACTGGTCTTCATAAATTTTAACCTCCCTGTCAATAGAAATAACTCATGGACCATGCAACACACTTCACTTACAGATTTTAAGGTCGTCTAAAAAGGATGGGCTAATAAACTTCTTAAGATTTACTTCATAACAAAATGTATATTCAAACTGTACCTTGTGAGAGATGAGTTAGAAAATAACATCACACAGACGTGACTCTGAAATAAAATAAAAATACCAATCAATACATACAGTACATAGTCAGTCAGAGAGACAGACTGTATTTGGCTTCCGTAGTGATTTCTGTATTTGGGACATTTCCCTAAAACAAAAAGCAAATGAGCCAGTGAAAACGAGTTATTTTTTCTTAACGAGCCATCTTSAAAATGGCAGCCACAACATTTTATCTTATGTGAATGACAAGTGACTTTTCTCTGCGACGTCTCAGCAAAATGTTCCTTTTTGTGTGCCAAGCTTTACGGGTTTTCTTAGCTACAATGGTGAATACAAATCCAAGTTTGAAATAAATGAGCAGCCAAATATAAACAATTGAATTATAGAATAATTGGGCGATTTGTCAGATACTCTTTAYCTTCATCTATGTCTACATTCATTTCATTAAGCTTACTTAATTCTTAAAACCACAAATATCACAAGGAAGGATTTAAGAAAGAAATATACTTATATGTACATAAAAATAGTCAAAATAATAAATAGAGTGCAAACAATATAACCGTGAAACTCTAGCAATACTAAATAGCACAATTTCATGCAAATTCCTTTGTTTTCTATTGTTTAATTAGCACTATTTTGTACTATTTAGTAATTAGTGTTTCACGGATTAATTGTTTGCACTCTAATAATACAAATACCATTGATTATTTGGATTTCGAATACTCCTAACRAACTGCTTAGTTAGATGCAGCCCGAGACTTTCTTTATACCCCCATTTGCCGCTACCAGAGTGACAGAATCAGCCGTCCTGAATCCCTAAATAGGTAAGTGCTTGCTTTATAGGTYATACAAATCATATCTATGCAGCAAAAGTGAAAGAAACTTACATTAAAGCTGGGTAAATAAAGCTGAGGCTTCAAAACTAAATGTCTATAACCAGCAACCTCATTCCCAGGGCCCTCTCGGCCCGACTCCAAAACAAAATGGCGGTGAATGAATTTCTTAATAATTTTGTTTCGATTTTTTATGAATTTTGTATGAATTTTTTATGTAGTGTTTAAAAAACGAGTAGGAGTGTTTTATCAGGCATAAAAGCACGAGGCGTAGCCGAGTGGTTTTAGACCTGATAAAACACTCCTACTCGTTTTTTAAACTGCTTCAAAAACTCATGAACAAATTTATCAGTCCGGGATAGTAGTGATATATGTCTATGCATAGGGTCAGGTTAATTTATTCATGGATTAAATATTCATATATTCCTGTTACCATGGCAAATCACCGGAAACGGAAGTGATTGGGGCGATGCATCGCCCAATGGGAGGCGGGAACGGGAGACGACGCGGGTGACGCAAGTGGGGAGGGACCGCCCGGAAACCAGAAGGAATACACGTGGTGTTTAGTTTAAAAAGGTTTAATGAACTCAGCAATTATCTTAAGTGTTTACATAGTTTTAAAAAAGTCCTGAAGTGTTGTACGTGGAGTGATGTGGAAGAGGACGAGAGGCGCTGCCAAAGTTAGTAGCAAAGGAGGAGGGTGGTACGAACTTGGAGGTGGAGGCTTGAGGTTGCTGCCAGGGATCACGGTAGCCAGGGTTGACTAGGTTCCTGGGGTCTTGACCTGTGCTTGTGTGGGAGAAGGAGGAGGGGTGTTGATGCTGAGGGGGTTGATGCTGAAGAGACTGGATGTAGCGGTAGTCTTCTTGATCGTAGCGTCCTCGTTTGGGCGGGGGTCCTACAGGTTGTGGCGCCAGTTGTTGCTGAAGCTGTTCGCGGGAAGGGATGACTTCATCA